ATGTTTTCAAATATTATCTGTGAAGTCATAATTTTGTCAGCATTTTCCCACTGACATCTTTTAAAGGATTCTAGTGAGTGTCTTTAATAGAAGTGAAATCCACAGCCAGATATTATTCCAGAAAAGTGCATTCCAACCTTCCCTTTCCAAAAAGCCAATAGGAGGGTTCTGGCACCAAATGGCTGTTGACTCTCCTCCAGGTCTCCTGTAAATTTCCTTGCAGACCGAGCAAGTGTGTGACCTCAATCTCTCCTTGGTCTGCTTTGTCTGCTTTTCCCTTGGCTCTTTCAATTCCAACACAGCCAGTAGTTAACCTACATCAAGACCCAAAATTTTGCTTTAGATGAGGACTTGTATGAATGTGGACACACATGCTGGTGGCAGCAGCTTCTGCATATGTGCATGCCTAAGTAAGTGCTGATTCTTGAACCTTCTCTCTGCAAAGGCCTCTTTAATGTCTGAATGTCCTCTGTGCACAGGGAGGTAGGCATCAGGGAGATGTCAAGCAGAGAAAGTACTTTGACAAAAGAGTATTTGCAATTTGAAAACCTGACAATGTCCCATAAAAATGCCATTACTTAGAAGAAAGGCTCTCACACCAGTAACAGAAGGTTTATTTATGTCATGGTGCTCCCAGCTTGTGTAGATGTATTCATATTAACAAATGTGTTCAAATATGTACTTATAACTTTTTAAAAAGTGGAAACACCCTGAAGGTTATACTTGCTCTTTTAGTCTTACAGCGCTTCTTCTCAAGCACAAGGAGTCTGCAATGACATCCACAGAAATCCAAATGACATGTGGCTGCATTTTTTTTTCTCCTTCAAACATGCCAAGGTCAGAGTTTAAGAAGCTGTATTCTGGTTGCAACATCATGGTTATTTAAAGAAGCTGCACGCTAAAGAAGGAAGGCAGGCTGTGACTCCACATCTGGATAGAGGGTGGAACCAATGAACTTGACAGTCCATAGGAGTGCAATCCCTGGACACACCCACAGGCTGCTGGGGCATGGGCCTCCACAGCTCCTGCAGCAGTGTGTCCTGAAGGCAGAGTTCTTCCAGGCTCTTTGCTAGTAACCATTTCTGTGCCCTGCCCCATGGACTGTTGGTACAGGACTTCCCTGCATGACAAGGGTGTCTTGACTGGAGTGAGCCCCAGGGAAAGATTGAGATTTCAGATGTTGCTGCTCACAGTGGAAGCCCAGGTAGCCCTCTGTGTGAAGGCCAGCTCTGCTCTGCCATGGAGCAACCCCTAGAACTGCTTCTGTGGGCTAACCTTTCCGGCCATTGCCCTTACTCACAGTTTTTGAAAGTGTCACATTGAATGGCTTTCCTTTTACTCAACTGTGATTTTTATTTTTCAAAAATCTTAGAAATCACAGCTGGGAAAGACTGTTGCTTCATCTAGTCTTGGCAGGAGGGCTCCCCAGGGAATATTTCCCTCAGTTCTTGAGACAAACAGCAATGTCTCAGTGTTCTGGGTAAAGGCCAACCCCAGCCCACTGCTTCACCAACCTGGCGTGGCATGTGCCTGCCTGGCCACTTAGGAATGTGTAGGGGCATGCTGCAGCCAACCCAGTAACCTTGACGCTGAGTGGCAAAGATGATCTTAACTCTTCTGAGAGGACCTGGAGCCTTGAGCAAGAGGGCAGAGTCTACGTGACTAAAACATACCAGCTTCCTCTTTCATAAGTCATCACATGATGAACTACAATTACAATTCCTGCCTTGTCTCTGCGAATTGCAGACGCATTGCCTCACCCTAGAAACCCTGCTCCTGTGTGGAGGAGGTGGCTGGAACTGCTGCAGCAGCCGCTTTGGATGCCATCCAACTCCAGTCTGAGCCCAGAGGGAGGGCGGTGGGTGGAAGACAAAAACAAAGCTATGTTTACTTAGCATACATCGATAAAGCTGCTGCAGAGCTACATGAAAGGCCAAGCAGCACTAAAGACTTTTGATACAATATAAGGAATTGCTGCCCTGGATCCAAGGCCTGCTTTAACCCCTTGGGCCCGGGGATCCTTTTATGGCAGGTGAGTCCAGAACTAAAAAAGCCTTCCCATTTTCCAGCAGGCATTTATTTCTTGAGGGAAGTTCCAACAGCTCAGTTTCAACATTAAGCTGGCAGTGTACAATAAAAAGGAAATGCTTTTCTGCAGTAGAAGAGAAGCTCTGTTCCACAGAGATCCTTACTTAGTGTCTCTCAAGGCAGACATTGTATCTCAGTGTTTCTATTTTGGATGGAGTGGCAGGCTTTCCCTTGAGGACGTTCAGTTCCTGCTCCCAGGTAAATGAGTATAATTAGGTCATGGCTCTAATGGTGAGTTGTGTTTTCTTTTAATATGTTTCAGTCCCTGCTTTGTGGGGCAATCTCTTGGGGGCACTTAAGTCTCTGCAGCAGAAAGGTGGGTGATTCTTCCCCTTTGCTTTGTCCCCATGGGTGAAGTCACAGACTGGAATGGGTTGCAGGATCTAAGCTGAGAGTGACCAGAAGGACAGGTCCTGAGGGAGGTACCGGGAGTGCCCAAACCTGCCGGCACCAACTGCTTCTGGGAAGAGATACCGGTAGGCCCCATTCTCCTGGCTCAGAGAGGGTGAGATGGAATCGCAAGGCGAGGGACAGGTGGGGAGTTCTTGACAGCAGGAATATCTTATCTGGAAACCCTCAAGGGAAGACATTCAAGGTTAGCCTGTGAACAATCTGGGTCTGGCATTACGTTTTCTGTGCCATTTCGAACAGGTTTTTTCATGTGCTCTAAGCAGCTCCCTCCACTGTTTTTCTACAGGCGTGTTTCCTCTTGTGGTTAATCCTTTGAAGCAACCTGGCATTTTCAATAGCAGCAACTGGAGAGAAACGTCAGCAGGATTTTTTTTTTCTCCCTCTCCACCTACCAATCCAGTTGTAGGAAAGATAATATAATTAGTACCCTGTTCTTCCCACACTTAACCAGCTCATTCCAGTCTGAGAGAGAAGTGGGGCTGTGCTCCCAACAAAAGCAGCTCCCTAGCAGCCCTACAGAGCGGAAGTGTGTCAGTCCAACCAAAAGCGACCAGCCCAAAGCGATCGCCCACAGCACACACCAGCTCCTCCTCCCGACAAAAGTGGGAAACTCGATATTTAGTCCAGTCTGGGCAGGGCCTGCGCTGCCCACCGCGGAAGGGAGCCGGGGGCTGGCCAGACGGGCCTGAGCCTATGCAGCTAGGTCAGGCTGGGACGGTGGACTGCCAAGGCGGCCAGCAGGCCGCCCCACCGCCCGCGGACCCGGGAGGCAGCCAATGCCCCGGCTAGCCCGCGCCTCCCGCCTGGCCAGTCCAAGTTCGGCCCGGGGCGGGGACTACGGGGCGGGAGTCAGAGGCGGGGCCTGCGCCTTGACGCCGCAGAGCCCGGATCCTTGGAATGTGCACTCGCTCGGCGCGGGCCCAGGCCCGCGGCGCCGGGCACGTCCGCGCGGAGCGTGCGCATTTGCGGCAGCTCGCGCCCACGTCACGCGCCCGCCGCGCGGACCTACATAAGGCGGCGGGGCGGCGCCGAAGACCCGGCTAAGCGTGCAGACGGCGGGCTGCGCGGGGCTCGCGAGCCCTCTTCCGTACGCGCTTGGGGCTTGGCCTGGAGGCGTCTGGCTTTCCCGAGTTTGTGAAACTTAAAGGGGCAGCAGCCTCGTGTTCCTCCTTAGACAAATACACTCCAAAGTACTTTTGAGTGCGCGCGCACGACCCAACGTGTCTGGCCTATTAGGAGTCCTAGGAAAGCCCAAGCAGGGCCGCTCAAGACCCCAAAACCCCATGCTCAGGAGACCATCAGAAACCACGAAACAAAGTGGACTTGTGTGTAAAAGCAGTTTCAGCACGATTTAGTCCAAAAGGACACAGGGGGGCGGGGATCCTGCCTGAGTGGTCGATTGGGAGAGTGGAGCAGGGGGCGAGTGCAGGTTAAGCGAAAAGGCACACATGTTCCAGGTCCGCCCCGGGGCGGGTGGCCCGCGTCCAGACCGAGCTTCGGCCCCGCGCGGGGGAAGGGAGGTGGCAGAGGGCGGGCGCGCGCGGGTGCGCGCGCGAGGGGAGGGGGCCGCGCAGGCGCCGTGCGAGGCTGTCGAAGAATCAAGTCTGTAGAAGTGGAGCGGCCGCGGCGGCAGCAGCAGCAGCGGCGGCGGAGCTCAGCGGGCTGGGCGCTGGAGAGAGGCGACGCCAGGAGCTGGGACAGAGCGGCGGAGCGGCCCGCGGCGTGCGCCGCGCCCGAGCTCCACGCCGCCCCGCGCGGCATGCCCCGCCGCTCGGGCTGAGCCTGCCCCGGCGGCCGCCCCCCGTCCCCCGCCCCCAGGCCTCCCCGCCCCCCGCCGGCCGCCGCTGCGACCTGCTGCTCTCGCCCGCGCGCCCCGTTTTCGCTCCGGTCTGGAGGCCCGCCGCGGCCCCGGCCGAGCCGCCGCCGCGCCGCCCCGCCGCCCGCGGGGACCTGCTT